TTTCCTATTGTTTTGCCTCATGTGGATGTGTTGTTTAGGTTCTTGTGTTTTTGATTTGGGTCGTGACCTCTGTAAGACTGAGCGAGAGCCATTATTATTATCCTGTTGGGATCAACTCTTGTCTCTATTCTCCTGTTGGGAGTTTTGTAGTTTTTCTTTATGTTATTTTGTGTTAGTTGTCTACTGACTCTTGATTTGGGTGTTGCTAAAGTCGGGATTCTAAGCGGTCGTCAGACCTGTCCTTCCATTTTATTCAGCCTTTGGTTGTTTTTCTTCTCATGTTGGGAGCTTTGTATTTTTATTCGAACATTTATGCGCTTTGGTTTATAATAGATAGATTATAATAGATTATCTATCTTTCTAGCCAAAAATAAATAAATAAATAAAACGCCTGTCTAAACTATTACAACATAAGATCATTAAGATCATGCTGCTGTGCAATAAAAAATAAAAGGGGTGTCTATATGTACACTCCCTTGTGTGTAAAAAAGGGGTGTACATATAGCATTGCCCTTTGTGTAATTTATTAAAAAGGGGTGTACATATAGCATTGCCCAAAATAAAAATGATAAAAAGTGACGATAAACTTGTTACTTCACACATCACATTAATTATGTCGCTTAAAAAAAATATTAAACTTACCATATTACATACTTTTAAAACAAAATTAAAAAAAAAAATATAAATGTATTAAACTTACACATCATTTAGGTCATCCTTTACGTCACCAAATTATGTTAAAGTAGTTTAATCCTTGCAACATATGATGATACTGCTGATCTTTTCTGGCTACGCAATAAAACATAAACAGACATCAAGAAATTTCATTTAAACACGCCGAGCCCCCTTTCTCCTCGGCCCACAGAGACAAGGACTGGTGCTAACAGTTCATCACGGAAGAAAGGACTCACAACCTGTTACATTCTCGTGTAGACCATTTGTAGCTACTGGAAACTGCCAGCATCAACCTCTAGACAAAATGCATTACAGAGAGAGAGAGAGAGAGAGAGAGAGAGAGAAGAAGAAACAAGGACAAAAAGAAGAACAAAAAAGTTGAGGCTAAAAAAAGAGCCTTCGTGAAGGCTGCGCCTGAGGAGTAGAGTTAGATGAATTGACAGTAAGTGGAGAGTTCAAGGCATCTAATCTCCCCGAGGACTTGTTATTATCAGCTACCTTTGCTCCCCTTGGGTCGGTTAGAAGAGTCTTTTGAAATGACTGAGCGAAACCAGTTGCAATAATCGTAACATGGATTTCTCCATTGTACCGCTCATCCACAACCGCCCCAAATATGATATTTGCCGAAGGATCTGCTAAACTTGTAACAACCTGGATGACATTTCCAAAAAAAAAAAATAATAATAATATTAGAACAGATTGTGAGTCCATACACCGACAATGTCATGTTAGATCTTACTACCATGGGAAAAACTAATTTATTACTGCTTAAAAAGAAGTACAATTATTGGTAACTACAAAAATAACCTGCAGTTTGACCTCAGTTACAAGTGAATCCAAGGTTTTAAGAACACTGGCTCCTTGAGGTTGTGAAATACATTCATCCCCTCATAAGGTGTTCATTTTAAGATAAAAGTAAATTTTCAGGTCCATATGAATTTTAATGATTATCCCTAATAATTTTGGAAGAATGATTCTCAAAACTCACAAACAAAAGAAAAAAAGAAAAACAGATAAACGGTACTTTAAAATACCTGTGACACCCTATTCACTTCTTGCAGTGTTATGTCCTTTCCTCCAGTTATATTGTACACAACCCCAGTAGCGGACTGGATAGAAGAACCAATCAGTGGAGCCAAAGTTGCTTGCTCAGCTGCTTCCTCTGCACGGTTCTTACTGGAGGACACACCCACTCCAAGCATAGCAGTACCAGAGTCTTTCATTACTGCCTTAACATCCGCAAAATCCACATTCACCAAACCAGGAATCTGCAGAAACAAGAGGATTTACCAGAATTTTCACAATATTAGGTCCAAGCGGTGAATAAAATTAGAGATAATTAAAAGAAACAAGCAATGAGGTTTCACAACATACTGGGAGAGAAAATAAAAATGAAGCTCGTCCAAAGAAAAAAGAAAAGATATATCCTATATTACAAACAAGCCTTTCAAGAGTTCAAGTGAAAAGCAATCGGACATTCTGCCTTAAACGTTGACGGTTAAACAAATAACTCTATTGAATATGCAATTTGTAAGATCAAATATCAACGGGGTATCCACTTTGGATAATGAGACTCATCTTCAAGGGTATTTCCCAGTTTACCCCAAAAAGTTAATGACAAACATAGTTCCGGACTGAAGGTCCTTGCATTTGACTTAAGTAAAGCTATCAGAATATTATTCATCGAAGGGATTCGGCAAATATTATATCAACATTGGATTTATTTTGCATTTCTCATACAAAGAAGTATATTAATCAATGAGAATAGAAGATATTTAAGCATCATCTGACAAAGCTTGGAAAACTTGAGCAACATATTTTAGGTGAAACACTGTTAGATCAGCAACACTTACAGTGATTATATCAGATATCCCTTGGACTCCTTGACGGAGCACATCATCTGCTAGAAGGAAAGCGTCTTGAAGTGGAGTCTGTTCATCAGCAATATCCAGGAGACGGTCATTTGGAATCACTATTAGTGTATCCACGTTTTTCTGGAGCTTTTCAATTGCTTCAAGAGCCTGGAAAAGTAAAGAATGCATAATAATGTGTTTGTATGCATTTTATTTTCAAAGTCACACATCATCAAAAATATCAAGGGATGGATTCGAAGAGCCTACAGATATTGCATGAACCACAATACAGTGACGCTCTCCCTTCGCAATTCTTATACTTTAAATCTGTATTAATATGCTTTTCAATTAACATATATTTTCACCAAACTGAGCATGTGTGTCTGTACATATACAAACGTGTGTGTATATATAGCACCTACCTGCAATGATCTTTTGCGTCCTTCGAAGCTGAATGGATAGGTAACAACGCCCACAGTAAGGTATCCAGCTTCCTTTGCTATTTGTGCTACAACAGGAGCTGCACCTGAACCCGTACCACCACCCATTCCAGCTGTTATAAACACCATATCCGATCCCTTGAGAGCATTTGCAATGGATTCCTTTGATTCTTCTGCAGCTTGTTCGCCCAACTGTGGGTTGCCACCTGTACCTACATACCAGCAGCAAGTGTGATGTAACATTAACATTCAACATTCTGAAGGAAAATTAACATTACATTAAGCTTGCCAATTATAAGAAAACTATATTCCATGTCAGGTGTGATATTCTTTTACAAACTGTGAAAACAAGTTTACGTTTCATATTTGAAAAGTTTATATCCAAAAGATTAAGGATGCAAACCAAGTCCACGAGTCAGAAGATCTCCAATTTGAATAGGGTTCTCAGCCGCAGATTGCAACAGAGCCTGCGCATCTGTATTTATGGCGTAGAAATCCACTCCCTGCAATTCCAAAACCCATACAAACATGGTTTAGATATTATCATTAAATCAAAGGGCTCCGAATGTCCATGATCGGAGAACCGAGGTTTCTGAAACATCAAAAGATTCCAATGTCCGTGAGCAGAAAACTAAGTTTTCTAAAGCATATTGAAGAAATCCAATGAAGATCTTCATTGCAACATATATGGTATATATGCAGTGTCTAAGAGTACAGACTTTTTATTACTAACTTGAACAAGTGAGCAATACTAAAGGATGTGCAGAAGTATTCAACATTAAAACCACAAAAGGCAAATTGAGATTTAGTCAATCTTAATAAAAAGTTTAGGAGAAAATAAACATTCTTCATTACAGGGAGGAATGGCATCGATAGAGAAAAAGCAGCTTTCCATACAGGGAAATAGCAACAGATGATTTTGAGTTGAGACATTAACTACAGCCACATTACTGATAACAGTTTCGCATTCGCCAGCATCCTCTCCGAATTATCCACAAAATCTTAAATATGTCAAGAAAAATAGCTCACGGAAAATCAAAGTTTTCACATTTGCCAGCTTCCTCTGCAAAGCAAAACGAATAATGAACAGAGGCCTGACTATGGCGAGAAAAATGCTTATTCAAAGTCCACTAACATTACTCACCACTACTGATAAAACCACAGCAACTAAAACTCCCACAAGATCTTGTGCCGGTGAAAACCCAGATAAACACAGAAAATAAAACCATCACGAAAGATTGAAAAAATAGAAGAAAAGAGTAAGTAGGGAGAGTTGCAACCTGTAAGCCGCTTCCAATCATACGATTAACCGCATTGTTACCACCACCACCGACACCGATGACCTTAATTTTAGCGGTGTCCATAGGTGCAAACGAGCAAGAAACCCCATATCGATGCCTTCTGGAACTGCAGGCACTTTTCCGGCGAGACCTGGAGAAGAGGACATCAGCACGAGCACTTTTGGACAGCAACGGTGAAAAGCCGCCAGAAATGGAGCCCGCCGAAGAGTGTGGTGAAGCTAATTCGAAGCCACGGCTTGCAAACTTGAGCGTCACCATCAACGCGAGCTAGGTGAGAAGGTGCCTGAAGACGAGTGATGGGCTTTCTGGATAGGAAATTTGAAGCATAAAATGATGAAAAATGGGTTTTTTAGGGTTTTAAGTATAAATATGTTTTGATGATTTTGTTTTGTTTTGAAATTGTGATTTTACCGGCTTTGATAAAAAGGCAACAATTTGTTTCATCCTTAAAACAAATAAACTTACCATATTAATAAAATTATATTATTGTTATTTAAGTAATCTACCATATTAATAAAATTATATTATTGTTGTTTAAGTAATCAGATAATATAGTAAATTTACTTATATATTAACTCTAATGTGAAGCCAATTATGGACTTCATAACAAAATCGTTTGTAGACATACACAGATATAAATTAAAAAGTATTCCAAATTATCTATAAACAACATTCATTCAAGTTATAAAATAAATATGTATATATCTCATTTTATAAGTTTGATAATTAATAAATGAGCAATATAAATAAAGTATTATAAATTATGTATAAACAACATCCATTCAAGTTATAAAATAAATATGTATATATCTCATTTTATAAGTTTGATAATTAATAAACTAGTACAGAGCTCGTGCGATGCACGGGGTGCACAATTTTAAGGTCATTTATCGAGCCTTACAATTATATAAATGAATAGGGAAAAATGTACAAGATATATATAGTATGTGAGTTGTGCGAGACACTGGATATATTTATTTGAGAAATATTATATAAAAGATGTAATATTTAATAAAAGATTTACAATACGCAAGAAAATTGTACAATAAAATAATATTCACCAAAGAAACAATCATATATTATTAAAGACCTCCTTGTACACAACATTATTAAAGACATCCTATTAACTTGTTTGATTAAGCTAAATTTTTGATTCATTGTTGTAGATAACACACTGGTCTGTCTTTTGTTTTTTCGCAGGTTGAAAGAGAGGAACATGTTGATTCAGTATTGGGAGATTTTTAAATTATAATTAGAAATTTTGATCCCCTGCCCTCGGTGGGCAGGTGAGCTGGACTATTATAATTGGTTTATTGAATTATATGTAGAGATACTGTCAAGTAAAATCAGATCAATATATGTAGTAACAAATCAGATAAGATATTTATCGCATTATAATTTGAAATATATTGCATTTAAAAAAAATCCAAACAACTAAAAGGTGTGAAATATATTTTCATTTGGGAAAGAGATAACTATGTTGACCGATCTTATCATCATGTATAAATAATTATAATTTATAATTGCACTTAAAAAAGATTCCACACCAAAAAAACACGTGAAATATGTTTTTATTTGGGAAGGAGACACGTGAAATCTGTTTTAACATCAGGTCATATATTTATCTCTTTATAATTTATAATAATTTATAAATTAAATTAAAAAAGATTCCAAATACCAAATACGCGTGACTTTTCAATGCTTGATAAAATTATAAATACAATAATTAAGTTTGACTCCGATCTTATGGGATTGTTTTTTACTAAACTGATTTTATGAAATAAGAAAAAAAAAATACGTAATAAAAATACTTGATAAACAAATTGCAAAAAGATAAGAATAGATTTTCATACAGTTAGTAAAAAGATAAGAAGGAATTTTGAATACACACAAATCCTTAAAAATATTGAATATGCGTTTACAATTTTTTGATTTTTTTTTTTTTTTTTTT